TAAGATGTGATACACAAACAAGAGAGATATGACTGGAGAAAGAAAAAAGGCTTGTTTTACTGAGAGACTGCATTTCAAAATTGTGACAACCTACCCTTCTGAAAGTTGAGAGGTAAAATTCCTTACTCAAAGAGGTAGGTGACAAAATGGGAGATGTGGACGGTTGTCTGTGTGACACAAACACAACAGAATCCAGTGTGACAGTAGCAATTCTTATGAACCATTGTTAGTAAGGCACTAAATAGAGACTTACCACTAGTTCCTGATCTATGACCTTGGTCTAAAAACAAAGATAGATGGAAAGTATATCAGGATATACTTGTAGAATTAGTGATGATTTTCAGAAGACTGGGGTTTGTCAGCAAAATTGGTTATTAAATACCCCTGAAGGTAGAAAACTTAGATAACAGGCAATAGCTTTATGCATACAGAGACTGCATGGAATTGAAATTACTGGGGTTAGAACTGTTCATTTCTATGTGAATATTTTTTAAAAACACTCTGATTGGTGGATTCTAGTAAATATCAAAGCACAGTAGACTGTTAAAAAGCAGAAATCAACCATGCTGTTCTAGAATGCTACATTCTCCTCAACATGCATTATTTATTAGACAAAAAAAATCCCTCCCACAAAGATTTATTTTTGTATCTTCCAGTGCTAAAAATCAAGTAAAAGTATGATAAGGCTGTTTTTAATTATGAAAGGCTATCTGTTCCTCACAAGAGCTCCATGAATGAAGCTCCTCCAGCACACATACTATCACCAATGACATGGGAAGGAGAAAATAACAATAAATAATTAAGTGAACAAGGGCTGAGAAACATGCAAAGGAGGCTCAGTGAAAGGACGAGAAAGAAGCCAGGGAGTTCTTGCACTTTTTTTGGTTATGGGGTTATTTTTATTTCACCTCAGAAGAACACTAACTAGGACATGTAGCAGATTTGTAAGTCACACCTACCTCCTCAAAATTAAGGAGAATACAGTAAAATGTTTACCTCATAGAAATACACCAGGGTTACAAAAGAGAACTTGCCTCCTTTCCTGGCCAAATCTGTTTAGTTTCTGGGTGTACTGTGTACAGGAAGAAGCTTTGTTTTCTGCATGGCTAACACAGAAGGCAGCCAACTGGCCACGGAGGGATAGAGTTACTGGCAAGTCTGGCCATGGAAGGATGAAGATGCCTTAGCTTCTTCCATGTCCAACGCACAAACAGGTGGACTAGAAGAGGAGGCTTAAATATAAAGCTGAAATGTTGTGTTATAGCCTCATTGAACATTTCAGTACTCCAAAATATGACTGTAATTGGCACATAAAACGCAGCATCTTCTGTAAATTTCTAAACAGTACTTGCTTGTACTGTTAAAATGGGGCCAGGTTAGAAGCAAAAAATAGACTTACAAATTTTTTGTTGACATATTACACACTTTACAACTCCGGTTCTCAATTAATGAGAAATTAGCATGATAAATTCACAGCACAAACTCAGGTTCATTTATCTATATGTAAACCCTGGATATACATGGAATGGATAAATATTCAACTTCTGAGATAAGGCCCTTTCCACACCATCGCTGTTTTTACTCCCCAAATCTCCAGAAGTAGTTACAGACTGATACACAGAATCACAGAGATTCTGTCGCTAATATCAAAACACTGGGAATAAGAAGCAAAGAATTTCAATCACTGCCCTAGTTTCTGGTTTAGAAAAGTCCCTCACCCTCACTTCATAGAAGAGGAAACATACATTGCAAGCATTTTATATGCTCTTCCTTCATGTTGCGTGTGCTTGGTTGCATGGCAAAAATCTGAGCTGTTGAACTACAAAGTGATCAAGCCATTTTATGGAAATACTAGTTTGACCAAAACCAGATGTCTTGAAGTGAGATGAGACAGAAATTCTCTCCAGTGACAAAATTCAGCATCCCAAGTTCCAAGTTGTCAAAATGCTTCAAAACATTGCAAAAGACAATACTAGTTTCCCTGAAGTTTCAACTACACCACATCCGAGACAAAAATAAATCTGCTCAACTCTTTAACACTGCTGACACTGGACTTCCGGGGGAGGAATGGTGGACTGAAGACATCTCTGTGAAAGTGGAGTCTATGACCAAGGAACTGGTGAGTAGACTAGTTCCTTGGAACCTCTCTGCATAAGGAGAGGAGGGGAGATTGCCCACATGTGCTCTAGAAAATAGCCATCTTACTCACAACTGCAGTCAGAACCTTTTAAAGGATATTAAGTTTGCTAACCTCACTTTCTAATCACTTTTTGAAATTGCTTATTAGCTACTATTAAGCTATTAGAGACCTTCAGACTGACAAGTTTGAAAACATCAGGTAAGTTTGCCTTCAACCCTGAATGAAAGAAAATTTTAATCATGAGCCTAAGAATTTAAAGAATTTGAAATAAATAGCAAAAAGCTAAATAAGATTTTGATCTTAGAAAGTTATAAGCAGACTAAGGATCCGTATAAATTTGGAATATAGAAACTTTTACAATAAGATTTTGGAATTAATTATAAATAAAAAACAGCTTCTCATGGGAATAGATTTGTTTGGTTTTTGCAAAACGTAACAAAGATAAGTATAAAATTTTAAAAACTGGACATGAGAGGGGACTAAAGATTCTAGGCAGAGGGGGAAAAAGCACAGGTTTACCTTTTGTGTTAATTAACTGGGACCTACAAAATGATACAAAATGTTATAACATTGAAAATATTAAAGGAGTCTTTTGAAGAATGGAGCCAGAAATTAGTAGCCACAATATCAGCAGTGTCAACCATGATATCTGCCTCTATAGACAGACTATGTCCAAAAGATGTTATTGAAGAAATGACAGATGTGGAACAAATGTTATCTGATAAGATAGAGATGGTACCGAAAGTGGATTTACAAATGACAAGCCAAGAGAATGACTTGGAAAAGGATGTCTCCCTGGATATACAAAAGAAACTGGCTGATGTTCTAAAAATCAAAAGGGAAATACAAATGATAAACCAAGAAGTGACCTGGATAAGTTTTTCTCATTGGATTTACAAAACAGGCTTGTTAAAGGCCTGAAGAACTCTGTGTAACGGAATAAAGAAATGAAGAGAAATCAAATCATATAACAATATTTGAATGAATTAAAGATTAAGACTGTTAGAAGGAAAAGGAAGGAATATAAAGTTGGTTTATTTGATCAAGATTAAAACAAGATATGTTGTTCCTTCTAGCACTTTCTGCTGACACCAGGACTGGAAATATGATGTTTCATGGATTGATAAGAGATGGAATACTAAGCCTATTAGTATCAATAAGCCTATTGATAAG